CATTTGGAAGCGCGTCTTTAGTTACTACTACTGTTGAAGTCGTCTATTGCGCTGGCCATTGATCACCATCTGTGTAACGCCCCAAATTTGCATAACACCGGAGCATTATCAAAAATTCATTTTTTGTTTACTTTACATGCGAAAAGATCAAAATAGAATTCTTTAATAAATAATAACTGCAGCATTCATAAATTTAAATTAAACATAGCAATTGTATCTGGAAAATACCATTAAACATGTTGTAAATTAAATTAACAAATAATTATGAGGGCAGAAAAACTTAATAAAAAATATATGTTTTATTACTATGATCCTCTTGGCAACCCGCATCATTGCCCTACCACAAATCCAATCGATCCGAAATAACTTGCAAAAATTTGTAAGAGTATTCGAGAACACTCAGTAAGATACATGCAGTTTTCATATACATATATATAATAATAAAAATTACACTTCATACCATCTGATCTTATAAAGTATATCGATGACCAAGCGACATACCCATCTTATGTCCTCTTATAATCTCGCAGGATTTCATATCTCTTTAAGAAAATGAATGTCTACTGGCAATCCATGCATTTTTTAAACAAAAACACTTGCACTTAAAGTACCTTACTTCAGTGGAAAAAATCTAAAGCACGTTAAAAATAATTTCTCCGCTTTGAAAAATAGGTGATTAAAATATTCGATATATGCAAACTTTATTTCTAATACTACTCTCTCTCTCTCTCTCTCTCTCTCTCTCTCTCTCTTTCTTCTCTATCTCTCTCTCTTTGCCGTATGTATTGTATTTATTTTTTTGGTAGTCAATGATCAGGCTTTTAACATTATATTTATAGTTGAAAAAGACAATAGAATTTTGGTGAAATTGGGATGATAGAGACGTGTACCACCAAATTGGATAAAGCTAATTTTTTTGATAAAGCAAATCATAATGTGATTCATGTACTTGATTGTGATAAAAATATTTATAATTAATACTTATTAAATCAAAAATAGAATCATGGCCAACCACTACAATTACAATTACACTATAGAATTCCTATATATCTACACTTGTATTCATCCTAACAAGTGATTTGAGTTTTGGATTAGCTAAAAGAATTGTATTCATTTATCGACACTCAATTTGCCATCCTTATCAAATGTAATTTGGATTATCTGCATAAAAGAATCCTCCAATAAGGTTTTGAAAAAAAAATAGAAAGGTAAGGAATGTTTGGGATTTTTCAAAATAAATCCGGCTTAGATTTATTTAAAATTAACTTAACCTTTATCCTAAAATAAGAGATTAATAATTCTCTACCTAAAACCCCACACGTGGCTACCCAATGCAAGTTAATATTCTAATTCTTCTGCACGTGAAACTGGTGGCCCCAACTACACCAAATCCTAAACCAATTTAATTAAATAAAAAAAATCTATTCTTAGGACTGCGATATCTTTGGTCTAACTTATCCAAATTAACTTTTTCTGGAGCCTAAAATTCATGATTTAATATGATTTATCCAACAAGTCCAATATTGATATATTAAATCTTGATCTGTGAAAATCTAATTATTAGACCCAAATAAAAGAATAGGAATTTAAACTTATTTCATTTTAGTCACATTTATTTTTTTTTCAAAATAATAAAATATACTATATAAAAGAAATAGTTTTTATTTTTTAAATTTTTGGAGCATTACAATCTTCCTTCCTTAAAAGAATTCCGTCCTCGAAATTTACTTGCATTCGAATCTTCCGTGGCCTGCCCTTGGCCTAAAGTCAAAACTCTGGCCTTTTCCTTCCTTTCTGGCTCATCATTCTTCTTCGAAAGGTCCTCTTTGCAGTTTTTGGAAATATGCTCGATCTTACCACATCTATAGCACACATGCTTCCCATAAAGACATTCACCCCTATGCATTTTCTTGCACTTTGGACAAGGTGGAACGACTTGTCCAAAACCTAATTAGAAGTTAGCCTTCTTGTTCTGTCCTTCTCCTTCCTCCTCGTTGGACCCATCGCATTTTCTCTTTCTTGAAGGCTCGGCACCTTGCTGGGGAGTTTTATCAATTTTCAATCTATTTGAGATTGCTTGGCAGTCTGCAATACTTAGCTATAGGTGGTGAATTGGTGGGATGCCAGTATTCCACCAATCTGAGGACGCAATCCCAATTCGAACTTCCTTGCTTTCGTTGCTTCAGTGTCAACTAGGTGTGGTTCATACCTTGAGAGTTGTTCGAATTTTCTCCCATAATTCTCAAGCTTCATTTTTCCCTGTTTAAGTTGAAGGAATTCTGTCTCCTTTTGTTCTCTCAGAGCTTGGGGGAAGTATTTTCCCATCACTTCGTCCTTAGATTGTGTCCACGTCAGAGCACGTTGTTTACTTCTGTTCTAGTACGAGATGCAGACTCTCACTAGCGGCCTGCAGCATCAACCAACATGAATTCTGCACATAACGCCTTTTGAGCGTCAATGCAAGATAGATGTTTGAAGATTCGCTCCATTCCTCTTATCCATTCTTTGGCTGTCAGTGGGTCTGCCTTGCCATCAAAGATTGGGGGTTCATAGCAACGGAACTGTTCCACAATTGAGCTGATATTGTTAACGTTTGCACCATAGGGACCAACCCCATGCTTGTTGCCTACCAAATCTTGTACTACCCTTAGTAAATCCTTGATGATCGTAGCTTGATTTTGTTGTTGTCTCGACATTTTCTTAACACAAATAAAATTTTAATTTAGGAATATTTAATAAAACAACCTAATATTATTAATAATCTTTGTAATAACGAAGAAATATAAATTTCCAAATCCTTATATCTAGTAATGTGCTCTTCAAAATCAAATAAATAAATAAACAATTAAACTTTTCCTAAATAACACTTATTTCTAATCCCTATGAGTCCTAAAAAAATTCTTCTTTTATAGCATCTCACCATCTAAAGTAATGCATGACTCTAACTCAAAATCTACAATCAAATCAACAAATTTTGTGGTTGGATTTCCTGCTCAGATCTTCTGGCTCTGGTTCATAATCTTCCTCTGGGTCCTCTTCTAGCTCCTCCTCCTAGTCATCCTCTGGCTCTGGCTCAGGTTCGGGCTCGGGCACCAGTGCTTGTTGTCTATGATTTCATAAAATTATAATATCCTCACAGTACCCTTTAAAATCAATCTTATCCCAATCTTCTTCCAAATATAACCCATAATCCATATCCCTCACAAAGTAAGACACGTCTCTCCATTGAGATCACATAGTGCTTATAATGTAGTATATCGAGAGGACTGTCCCTTCATTATATCTGAACGATCTTACTCGCTTCCACTTAGAAAGGAAATCTTCAACATGTTCAACAGAAGTTCACTCCCATCTTAGTTCATAATTTATATAGTTCTCAATGGCCATTTCAGCACGCTGGAGATATGTTGGGTTATTCCTAGTCATCCTAATCACGTGACAAGTATAATTTCAATTATGTTTAATCTAAGCACGTCTTTAGTTACTACTAATGTTGAAATTGTTTATTGCTTTGGTCCTTGATCACCATTTGAGATCTATGATAGATGTGTAGACAATAAATAGGGCCTTACATTGTTGCCTTATTTAACTTTTAGTCATCTATTTTTTCATGAGCCTTCAAGATTTCTCTTTGTGTATCCGTTGGTTCCCTTTGTCTTCTCTAATCATCTTCAACCTCTAATTGGATGATTTTCTTTTTCTGAGTGAAAAGTGAATTTTTGTGATTTCGTGTGTAAGAAAAGAGTGAGTGGTTTTTTGTTGATGACTTCTAATCCATAGAAGCTGTGTTGACAACCAGTTAGGATCTGAGTTTAGTGATTTTTTGTTTGTATAGAAGGCTACAACGTTCTGAACCCTAGATCGTTGGTTCTGAGATGCCTTTGATTGTGTCTTTAGCTGTAACTGTTGGAAAATAGTTTGCACTTTTGTTATTCGATTTCTTGTTCTATTAACGTGCCCTTTCCTCCAAGGTCGTAGTCATTAATATAAAATCCTCAACACTCAAAATCTTAACATTGGGCTCCTAACTAAATAAATAAATAAATATAGGAGACAGTCATATATAATTGTCATCAGGTTTGCAATCTCTTGGTCGAAAATCAGGGGTTAATCATAATGCTTACCGGAGTCAACGTCCATCCACCTATCCAGATTGAGAAAAGGTTATCATTATATAAAATAATTTCAACTATCAAGTTTTCCGAACAAGTTGTAGTTGTCTTGATTGTAGTTTATGTAAGCTAAAGTGATAAAGCAAACAAAGAACAAGATCACAAGGCCGTTGATTCCTAAGAATGTCAGGAATCAAAATTTTAAATATTCATTGGTTCAAACAAACAATAATACCTGATTTAAAATCGTGATCTTGTTAACTTACAAATATACCGAGTAATTGATTTGATCATTCATAGGCATATGAATATCTACTTGGAGAGAAAAGAATTGAAAACTCTTAATTGAATATTTCTATTTCATATACAACCAAAAAGAGGCTGAAGTTCTAAGTGCAGCTCAAATATAGATCATACGAAGTAAACCTAACTACTGATGACAAATAAAAATAAAAATAAAATAATATATATTACACTAAATTCTTAAGTAATTAAAAGTCCGTTTGATTCTTATTTTTCTAAGAATAAGAATGAAAAATATAGTCGTCATGGAATCCACATAAGAGCTAGAAAGTCAAATATGATAACTTGATGCGATGAATAACGATCATATTTTTTATTTTTGTGGCCAAAGAATAGGAATCAAACGGACCCTAAGTTCAAAATTAGAAGCTAAATTCCTCTTATTGTGAATTTCATTCCATCAGCTATTCATAGTCAATAATCTGTACGTCGCATGGTTGTTCTTCTTCTAGTTTTTTATTTATTTATTTATTTTTATATATTTAATTCTCAGACGAACTCGTTGAATTCTTTTATTAGTTTTCTTAATTACATGCATAGTCACCAACATAGAGTGAACAAATGTGCCCAAAAATTCTAGTGGAGTACTAAAAATTAAAATGGATATTTATTCATTAATCATCAATTTATGTTTACATATTAAACTATTGAGGAAACATTCTTTTTATTCATTATGTAATTAATGACAAGCATTACATACAGTTTATTTTATTGAGTTGACGTTGGCGGAACACTTTGTTCATTCCTGAAGAAATTGGTTGGATCCACCTCTGTCTTCACCTTAACCAATCTTCTGAAATTATTGTTGAAATACTTAAATCCCCAAACACTTGCTTGCCTGTAGCTCGTATTCCCTTTAATATTGTTCATGCCAATATCCAAATCCCGATAATTGAAATATGCAGCTCTTGGAGATTTTGACACATAACGAGCCATAAAACTGTAAAGCCTCCGGATCCAGTTTATATGCCTTTGATATTCTGCATTATCTGCCCAGCCAACTCCATAGTGAATCATGAATATGTTGCCAGACCGATGTGGGAAAGGAATTTCTGATTCTGAGAAATCATTAATTCTCCCTCCATACGGACTGAATTGCAACTCGGCCCCATTTTCTTCTTCTTCCTTAAGAAAGTTCCATATGCTTTCGAGACCGTGTTCTGGAATTGGTTGCATCACGTAGTCAGATTTTGCTTTAGAATATGCCGTGGAAACTTGAGTTCTATTCAGCAAAACGTCCAGTGATTCACCCTGGAAACCTGCGAAAAAGAGTGTGGATTCTATCCATGGCATTTCAGTGCAATCTTCTTTCACCAAACCCAATTCTGGGAATTTCTGTTGCATTATTGGGAGAAGATCATCAACTCGGCCTAGGTACAAAGAAGTGAAGAATGCTCCTATTGTCCTCTTTCCATTTGAAGAGTTGAAGCTTCTTAGGAAGAGTCTTAACAAAAGATTATCATCAATCTTGTCAGCAACATATTGCCATCTGTGTACTAGCTGGGTTGCATTTTGTTCTAACGTTCTTGAAACATTAAAAACTGTCACAGTTTCTGGAATTACAATTAATTGCACCTTAAATGCAACTACAATTCCAAAACTGGTACCTCCACCTCCTCTAATGGCCCAAAAGAGATCTTCTCCCATGGATTCTCGGTTCAGAATTTTGCCATTAGCATCAATAAGTTTGGCATCAATGATGTGATCTGCCGCAATACCATGTTTACGGGACATCATGCCGTATCCTCCGCCACTGAAGTGCCCTCCAACACCTACAGTCGGGCAAACGCCGGCTGTGAAGGCCAAAGTCTTGCTTTTCTGAGAGATCGTATAATAAAGTTCACCAAGTGTTGCACCTGTTTGAACCCATGCAGTGTTTTTTTCTGTGTCAATGGATATTGATCGTAGGTTTCTCATATCCACAATAAAAAATGGAGTTTGAGATATGTATGAAAGTCCTTCGTAGTCATGTCCACCACTTCGGACTTTTAGCTGAATCCCATGTTTCTTAGAGCAATAAATTGCTGCCTGAATTTCGGATTCATGCTCCGGGGTGATGATTACAACAGGTTTCTGGCGAGAGTTTGATGCTGGCCGTAGGTTCCGTATTGAAGATTGGAGAATAGATAAATATGATACATTTTTCGGGGTGTAAATTGAATCAGAATCTGAGTTGGATCTATGAAACTGGACGGTGAGGCATTCAAGAAAATCATTTTCGTTATGAGCCGAAGAAGCTCCCGAAATTGAAATGAATGACAAAAGAAAAATTGAGAGTATACAAGCTGGATTAATCTGCATACTTTTTTTTGTAATCTATATTTCTCTTCTAATTGGTTGCTAATTCTTGAACAATATTGCATGTATTTATAGATGTACTTGTGGTGAATTTTCTAAATGACTGTAAAAATTCAAACTTCAATCATAAAACATATGGAGATTAATTCAATCACGCAAAAATAAATTTAAAAATGTGGTCTTATTGAAGAATAAATTATTGTTCTTTTATCTGTTTTTTTGTACAAGAATTTTTGGTTCAGATAAGCATGCAAACTGTAATTTCCAAGATATTACTTGTGTTACAAGTTTATCAAACAATTAGCAATTTAATATAATATTTTAATATTCTTAGAGGATAATGCATGAGATAAATGAAGATTTTTCTTAATCAGCAGCCTTCAAATAATCGCCAATATGGTGAGGTTGTTGGGTTCTTATAAGGGATTCAAGAAAATAATTTTTGTCTTGCATTTGAAGTAGTCAGAAAAATATTAGAATTGCTTAAAGAAATAAAAGAAGATGGCAGCCTTCAGAGTGTCCGTTAACCTTTTTATTGTTTAACCCTAATAAGATTGAAAGACAAAATTAAATCTTAAATATTGTTAACGTGGTCATCAGATGATTCTGTCCAGTCATTCTTCTTAAGGGTGCTGGAAATATCCCATTAGAGAATAAATTCAATCTTAAATATTTTTCACGTGATCTTTTTTCTCCTCATGAACAGTAAAAATAATTCTTCCCTGCATAATTTATTTTCGATTACGTATAATCTATTCCTTATTATAATATTCAGTGCTGAGAATGAGCCATTGACTTCTTAATCAAATAATAGAGACGAGTTCACAGCCAAATCACTTTGAGCAGCCGTTTGTATCGTTTGAAGATTAAAAAACAACTGCAAACCCTTATAATTGGTCGTTTGTTAAATCCGTTGGAAACAAACGGGGTTTGGAGAAGAGACAATAAGAATAACAAAAATTATAGCAACGAGATGAAGAAATCAGAAATTTGTCAAGAACAAATTCGAACGCTCAAACGCAGGATTGCTGTCCTCACACTATAGTTGCCCCTTTTGGGAATGAGATGCCTAAGGATTTTAGCAAACGGTTTGTAGGATTATACTTGTGTTTGATTGCCATTTTCATTTTTATTTGTAAAAGAATTTGCACCGTTACACAATAAAAATGCAGATGCATTTAATGTCCATCAGAAATGTTTTTACATTTTTACCCTTTTTTGCATTTATTTTCAAAGTTAAGGAAGGGGCATTTCAGGAAATTTCCATGCTATTGAGTCAAAAAAGACGACAGTGTATGGCCCACTTACTTTCGGCTACCACAAAGGTTAGGGCTAAATTTAAAATTGACCAACGCACCACAAGGATACTCCAATCACCAATGCTCAAAAATCCACAAAAGAAATGGTGAAGGTGCCACTTATAAAGGGAATAGAAGAAAGAGTTTGTTACTTCACAACACTCATAAAAGAGGCTCACAAAGAGGAAGAAGATAAACATACTTGGCTGCCTCACACAATCTCACAAACCACACAACCTCACAAAGATAAAGTAGAAAACGACTGCCCATCTTTCTTCTCACTACCATACCTCTCACACCACTCATTGAGCAAACGAAGTACGCCACAAAACTCAACCCACTATGCATGTAAACACATTACACAAAGTAATAAAATCACTCTAATTCATAAAATTACACACATCAAACATATTGAAAGTGTAACATACCAACGCAACAAAATTAAGTGATCACACATATAGAAAGTATTATACACATGCACATGCAATAACTAGGTTTACTCTCAATAAACCTCACAAAGGTCATCACTCGACCCAATAACAACATTTGTCTAACCTCTCTCATTATCTTTCCTTTTATTATCATTTTCAGAACAATCTATTTTCAACTATGTCCAATTTTTACCACAGTTAAAACTTATCTTATTTTTGAATGTAAATAAATAGTTTCATTCAATGTGGAATGATATGTGGGTCTCAAGATATTTTTAATGTTTCTAATATGTTTGTATTAATCATTCATCACCTATTTATAGGCCTCAATCAATACACCACAAAATGGTGTCAAAATATGATGAAGAGTGACAACTTTTAATCCAAAACGGTTCCCAAGTTTCAAATTGGAAATCCAGCCAACGGCTATTTTTTAACAATGTGCGTACGCATAGTATAAACCTTGTTTACACATAGTAGAAGAAAATATGATTCTATTTTGGCCAAAACACATTTGTGTACGCACAAAAATAAACATATGTGTGCACATAGGCAAAAATCAAATTTTCAAATTTTCAATTTCTTTTGATTCTACTAGTTCCACAATTGTGCCCAACAATTAGCCCATTATCATTCTATTGATTTTGAAAAAATATCCAATTTTGAAAAAATCAATTTGATCATATATTCGAAATGACAACACTTTTGCATAAGGATTATATATCTTTCAATTTGAATTTAACCATAGTATAATTCAAACAAAGTAAAGTTGGAATTAAAGGTAGCGTGGAAGCCTTGAATCAATTATTCCTTATGACAATACTGGTAAGAACGCACACATAAGTATCATGTGTTCTCAAATTTTCCAACTCGCTTAGCGCTTTTATGGCTTATGCTCATCTATTGATGGCAAAAAAACACGCCCCGCCTCGAATGGGGTAAAAAAAATCCACCCTGAATAGGTTTGTGGGGGGCCCCGTCGTGGGACAGGGCGGCGTACCCTTTCCCCCCCTCGAATCCGCCCCGTGAAGGAAAAATGACACGTCCCTTCTCGAATCACTCTAGTGGACTCAAAACGTGACTTGTGCCGATGATAGATGCTAACTAGATGTCAAATCTATCACCAAGGCTGATTATGAGTTATTTCAAAAAATGCAACAAAATCAAATGCTTATGTAAAATATAATGCGATTGGCCCAAATTATTTACTTTGTACTTCATCAATATGAGTTATAACATTCAACATGTCGTGCTCTCATTCCAAAATCATTAGGTTCTTCCAGCTAAAAAGAATTAATTGTTACCTATAGGAAAAATTACAGGAAAATATATAAGTTGATAGCTCAGTGAGTGGAGAAGTTCGAAAATAATATACTTTTTTAATTTTACATTTTTATCAAAAATCAAGTTCATATCATTGCATAAATCGCAACATAACATCATTTAATTATAGCCAAAACTTGAGACATTCACATATCGTAGTAAAATGTCATCTCGAAGTCAAGCTATAAATATAAACTAATAACTGTACTATAATCTTATCATATCAAATTTACTGAAAAATCCACTAAAAAATGTACCCTCTGATGAAAATCTGTAATCCGTTTCTTGAGCTAAGAACTTTCGTCACGGACCTTTGGCCCCCTCTATAAACAAAAATCGATCTCAAAGACCTCTTATAATCAATTATAGAACACGATCAAGGCCCCTCAGTGAACTATATATACACGGTCGAGACCCCTTCATCCTTGGTCCAAGACCCTTCAGTGTAGTATAAAACACGGCCAAGGCCTCCCAGTGAACTATATGTACATGGTCGAGACCCCTTCATCCTCGGTCCAAGACCCCTCAATGTAGTATAAAACACGGCCAACGCCCCTCAGTAAACTGGAAGAAATATATAGTCATGGGTACTTTTCTGATCGATCTCAAAATCATATCTCATATTCTAATTCACAATGTACCGTATACAATCTTTGAAATCCCACATGTAACATAATAAAAGATATTTCCATAATAACCATATAATTCGAACGCATAATTGCATATAATTGCACACTTTAACAATATACTTAATTTATAAATACTTTAAAAATATTTATATTTTTCCACTCACAGAATTATGCACACCAAAATCAACTTGGTTGATAAGATGTCTCGATATTCGTATTGGCATCTGAAATATGATATAATTTTTAAATAAATTTCAATAATTAAATAAGCAATACCCAAACTTAATTATTTCACGTTTAAGCGATTTTTAAAGTCTCTTTAATCACTAAAACTAATTTTTCTTTTATTTTACTCAATTTCGTAGCTTATTATACTTAACCCCTTCAATAAAATTGAATTTAATCTGACACTTTAAAAACTATAAAATTAAACGTAACTACGTAATAATTAACTTTTTAATCACTAAATTTCATAGCTTATTTCATAACTACGTAATAAGTAATTCTTTAATCACTAAAACTAATTTTTCTTTTATTTTACTCAATTTCATAGCTTATTTTACTTAACCTTTTCAATAAAATTGAATTTAATCTGACACTTTAAAAACTATAAAATTAAACATAACTACGTAATGAGTAACTTTTTACTTACCTTTAAATTGAAGAATTCAAGCTTATTAGCATGAAGCACTTATTTTCTAACAATAAAGGCGAACTTTTCTTTTCTTTTTTCTTTTTTCTTTTTTTTTAACTTTTGACTTTTCTTTTAATTAAACTAAAGTATTACAAAACTTTGACAAAATGGTATGGTGTATTACAAACTTACCCCCTTCAAAGAATTTCGTCCCCGAAATTCAACCAACTAAAATTCGAACATATAAGGATAGTATGTGCATTTAATCATCACTTGCCATAATGCACCTTCCATTGAATTATTTTTCCAACAACATAATGAGTCATAGAATTCGTTCTTTCCTATCATACTTCGAATAACATTCTAAGAACCAATATATGATATTCTCTGATTTTCCTTTTATCAAACCTTAGGAAAACTCAATTATTTCCATAACTTGAAGTTCAAGATACCACTTTTCATGTTCTCCAAATCTTCATATCCATTTAAACTATTCTCTAATCAAATTCTTTCTCTGTAACAATGGTAACATGCTAAAACCAAATGACATTCTTTCACCAATTTCTTCATAATAATTACGTCATTGGAATATTTCAATATCATATAGAACCTCAATTATCGGCACTTGTGTCTAATACTTATATGTCAATCTCATGAAAAATAATAATTATCCAAGTCCCCTTTAATTAACCAACCATAGTTTATAGTCTCTCTTTTGAACTTGTCTTTAT